ACAGCAGCTGCGGAGGGCATTTGCATTCTCACAGGGAGAGGCTGATCTCTACATTACTGTGGTGTAGGTAATGATAATCACAGGTTCGTTTTCGGTAATGACAGCACACTCTGACGGAAATCTCTTTCAAAATGTTCTGTAAGATCCAAATGTTTTTTTAAGTCCCATTAACTGAAGCAAACCCACTCAGAATTTTTATGTGGTTATTTACAGTTGTTTAAGTTGGTGACAGGGATCGATCGCTTCCAAAAATAAAGCATGGAAAAGAATCGAGATTGAGGAGACAGCCCTATTGTTTCCATTTGTCAGTTTGCATAGGTAATTGGCCCATTACAAGGCTCTTCCCTGAGCCCAGCGGGCAGCATCACACAGAGTCGGCGTGACAGCACCGCCTCTCTCGCCCGCATTCTTTTGTTTATGTAATACCGAGCCTGTCATCTCATTGAGCCAGTCTTCCTTGGGTGCTCACACTAACATGCACTTTGGCATGACATTGCAGTGGTGCAGCCCTGTTCTGACACGCATGGCCATTTCTCTGTGCCTTAACAGTGGGCATTATTCCTGTCTTCTTGATTAGATTTTTTACTTTCTTCACCTGTTTTCTTGTCTGTATTGCGCATCACCATCAATAGTCTTATCTCATGCTCAATTACTGTCAGTTCTCTCTGAATTAGCTAATTCTCAGACAGTTTCAAAATATGGTTGACACTTTGCATGAAATGGCAGTTGAACGGCTTAATTGTAGTTTTTTTTCTCTTTCTAATAAGTAAAAGAAAGAAAAGATTTGCACATGAGAAAGAGGGCGGCTTTTATAAAAGTGTTTCCTCACAATAAAATCTGACAGGATATGATTACATTTGGTGACATTAACCATTAAATAACAATGAGTATTTTTGGCAAATTATTAATTTCATTAAAGCAGGGCTGCGTCATTCGCCTTTGCAATTTTTCATCTGATTGGCATGTTTCTCTTTTTCATTGGATGCACAGTCCCTCTCCCTTTCCTCTCAACAAAGAGAGAAATGGCCAGGGGATTTGGCTGTTGTGCGGCTGCTATTTTCCACACCTCCATCCATTGCTCCAAAAGCCCAGCTGCCTTTAATTAATTTTGGTATCTCCACTTGTAAGTCCCTGCGACCTTTTGCAGTGCTGCTTTCCATAGAATTAAATAATTGAGAAGCCTTTCAGAAGCTGTTGACACTGTGAAGGGCATATTGAAGAGCGAAAATACCATCTTGTTTTAAACAAAATCGGCAAGCAAATCAGTTTTTAAACTGTTATAGAGGTCGTTAAAGTCTCAAATGGGAATTTTTTGGGAGTGTTATTTCCAAACTAATTTATGTAATAGTGCCGGAATGAGCTCAGAGTTGCTGAGGAACTGTTAGTTAGTTGGTTTGCGTTGAGATTGAGCCACTATTCACTCTGTGCGGGCTGTGTTAAGAGTGAAAGTGAGGGGTCTTCAATGCCTCATGTCAGAGACTATTACTTCTCTCACCGGCCTGTCACTTCCACTTTGCTTTGCGTTTTCCTCGCTGGCCCGGGTCTTTTCCAGTGGACAGATAGACTCTGGAAGGAGAGCGTCTATACCAAATTGTATTTTCTGTGAAATAGCATGCATGACAGCTTTGCCATAATGAGAAAGTTGGTGCAGCGGGCGATAGCACCGGAAGAGAGTTGAATTCAAAGAGCATGTGTTTACACGGCGATGGCAAAGGCTTTCACCCTGGGGAATATTCACACATAAGCAACCCGGGGCTTTTTCTCTCTCTCCCTTTCTTATCTTCTCAATCACATCTCACCCTCATAGTCTGAAGTGCCAAAAGAGGAGGAAACCAGGATGAACTTCTAGAGAAGAGCCTGAATAGCCTTGACTGTTTTGCCATTGCAGTTGTCAGGATGCTGCATGTCTTAAGGTTGGTTGGCGTCATAAAGCCAACGAGACAGTGGCAACACAAATTGCAGCATTTCTTTTAATTTCAACACCTTTCTTTTACAACACTGATGCCTTTGGGGAGGCGGAGGCCAAATGTTTAGCACTCCAAGAGATCAGTCAACAGAATTGGCTTCATAAAGAGCACATTCCTTGAGGCTGCACTGCTTATGTGCATTGCTTTTGGTTGTTAACAAGTTTCACTTCTATCCAACTGGATTTAAACACACATAATTAATAGGTCATTAAAGAGTGATCTCCATTGCACACTAATGTATGTTCTGAGTACAACCCTGAATGAAAGGGCATTTGCAGCCTTCCTAAACAAATCTGCTCACTGGATGTGTACGCCACACTTCACAACATTACTTTTAGTGCTTGTAAGATTTTTTTCATTGATAATGTGATGTTAGCCAATTCAGTACCGTTAGATGCTTAACACAGATGGACAAAGCATGGGCTGAGGGCATGTATGAAAGAACATCCATTTGAGCACTATGAATGGATAGTGGAGATGGAAGGGGAAAAAAATCATAGCTATCCTTCTAACAGTACAGCAGACATGGTTGAATGGTTTTATTCATGTGCAATTAATTTGTATATCAACGTTTACCTCAAGCAGTGCTTAATTAAAGCCAGTGTCTCACATGATCATTGGAAGGCAATATACATGGTATGTTTTTTTGTTTTTTTTTGGACAGGGTTTTAGTGACAGACTTTTTATTTATGTATGTATTTATTTATATATGCCGTTCAAAGGTTTTTTTTAGTAAGATGTTTTGGTGTGTGTGTGTGTGTTTAAAAAAATTGTTTTATGCTCACCAAGGCTGCATTTATTTGATCATAAATACAGTAAAAAGTTGATCCGTGAACCCACGCACACATGTGACTCGCAGATTGGTTGTGAAATTTATCCATGTGAAAGTATATCATTTGTGCTCATTTTTAGGTCTTGCCAATTTAAACATTAAAGTGCTTTTTAAACCATTCAAGCGCAAGTAGATGCAAAAGGAAACTTGATTTGGTGCTTCTTGTGCACTGCTTTCTTCTCACACACACAGAGGGCCTCATCTCATACAGCATACAAACACCCAGTTGAGTTCTCTTTCACATCTTCTTGTGCTTGAATGGACAGATAAACACAAAGTGATATCAAAATATCTGTCTCTGTGAGTATCCTCGTAAACATAGCTGTGTCTTAGGTGAATGTAAACAGCTGAGAAAAAAATCGGATATGTATCACTATATTGAATCAGTGCATTAGGTCTTAAAGTGACAGCAGCCTAATAACCTGCTGCTCTTAAAAGACAGAGAAAATCATTCACTGCTCTTGACTGAATAACTGTTGTATGTTTAGCAAAGATTAATCTATATTTGATTTATACAGTGAGGACTATGCAGTGTTATTTTACATTTGATTATTCAGTTTCTGAACACTGATGTTAGAAATACCTGGGAAAACTTTTTTGGTCATCCCAAAATGTTTTGTGATCTGTTGCATCCCTAGTAAAAACAGTAATGTTGTAAAATATTATTAAAATTTACTGTTTTCTATTTTAATATATTTTTGTGATGGCAAAGTTGAATTCTGAGCCATGACACTTTTTTTCAAGATTTTTTTTAAACAAAAAAAGTTAAACAAAAAGAACAATATGAAATGTTTTAACAATGTAATGTAAAATGTAAAAGTGTGATGCGTGTAATACCTTTTAAAGATAAAGACTGTTCTTCACTTACGTGAAGAATTTTGTTCCATTATTCTTGCATTGTTTGAAGTGTCCTACATAAAGCACCGTCTCTCCTTCGCAGTCCTTTTTACAAGGCACCTGAAACATTTAATCTGGAAATTGCCTTGTAAAGAAGACCTTCATGTTCAATTATGCCTGTGACATCTGTTATTACAGCTAATTCCCGACACCTGCTCCCGCATTTTCAATATGCTGTTGAATGTGCATTTTGGCTCATAATTGAGCGGGGCCACCATTAATCTCCATCAGTCCATTTCCATGAGGAGCCAAGCCGTCTGTCTTGTTCCAGATTAGCCTTTAATCAGGCCTGTTTAGTCCAAGGGCACGGAGGCCCAAGACATTGAGCAGAGCAGCAGGGGAGCACACTTTTCAGCTCAAGACTACAGTTTTAGTTTCGTACTCTGTACAGTAGCAGATTTTAACGGGTGGCTCGCATGTCAACATAGAGAGGTGAGACTTGGAGACTGAATTGCAGGCCATCAAGAAAATCGTAACGCTTCACAGACCACATTTAATGAGCTGGATTTGAGTTGATCCTCATCTTTTGATTAATTCGACCTCACCCAGACGTATTTTGCCTTAGAGGATAATCCAGTTCGGATATAGATTAAATGATTCTTGCTTTGATCAGACCACTTTTCTTTCCAGATTTTATCTTTCTTCTTTGGGATTCTATGGGATTACAATTTCATTCTTCTGATCAAGGATAACTAAGCAATGATTATATATTATAAATCGAAATTGGCTTAACCAAGACCACAGTTAAGCGGCAGGCAAGCCGAGAGTATCCAAGGGTTTGAGCTTGCCAACTGTGCCAGTGTCCTACTTAAATCAGAGGCAGAAATCTGTGCCACACGTGGGGCCATCATCTAGACGAGATGACTTTGAGCTGCTTCCAGAATGTGCTGATCACTATCAGGAGTCCATTGTGAAATCTAATAAATGTGTGTTGATGTTTTCAGAGACCCAAATTAACTTGTACACAATCCAGAATCCACAAAATGCTTCACTCAGATTAATTAGATAAAGAGAGCACAACAGATGTATCTCTATTTTGAAATTATGTAACACTTAACTATCTGTTCATGACTTGTAGCACAGATTTTTTTTTTCTTTTAATGGTTTCAAAAATTCAGGTAAAAGTGAAAATAAACCCAAAGATAAAAATTCTGTCATTATTTACTGACCAAACCCAAATTACACAAATGACAGTCCATCTGTTGTTTTCCATATAATGAAACTATTCCTTTTATATGTTGAGACTGAGTATTGAATGTCATTGCAAGGTCATGATATCGATCTTTTGATCTTTCTTTTTTTAGACTGCTGATCTACGGCCAGTACTGCAGCCATATGGAGAACGCTCAGAAGACACTGGATGAGCTGATTGCCACACGGGAAGATGTCAAGTGTAAAGTGGAGGTAGGCTCTAAGCAGTCTAATCTTGTAAATTTTTTAAGTGTCTGTGATATATATATATTTTTGTCATTTATCAGACGCTTTTATCCAAAGCGACTTACAAATGAGGACAACAGAAGCAATCAATTGTAGTATTAAAACAACTAAAAACAGATCCAAAACTAAAAGCTAAAACTTTATAAATACTACTTATACACATTTTAAAAATAAAGAAATTAAATAAAAATGACAAATGCATACAACAAAATTTCAAAACTTAACATTTAAATGAAAAACAAAAAATAAAGCTAAAAACAATTAAAAATATTAAAGAACAAAAGGTATAAGAGTATAATAATGATTCTAACATAACACTAAGCCAAACACCAAAAAAAGAACTACATATATGTATATGTACAACCACACACACATACATACAGGGTTTGAAATTAACTTTTTCACTTACCAGCCAATTTGGCTACTACATTTTTAAGTTACCAACCATTCATAATTTCTACTAGCCAAAAAAATTAAACAAATAAATTATGAAAAAAAGGCCAGAGGTAAGCTAACAGCTTAAGGCTGTCCACACTGGATGCGACAAAGTGACCATTGCAAATCATTTGTACTTTGTCAAACAGTAGGCCTATTATATTATATATATATATATATATATATACAGTATGTGTGAACAGTTTGGAATAATTAAGATTTTTTAATTTTGTTGAAAAAAAGTCTCTTATGCTCACCAAGGCTGCATTTATTTGAACAAAACACAGTAGAAACAGTAATATTGTGAAATATTATTACAATTTTAAAGCAACTGTTTTCTATTATAATATATTTATAATGTAATTTCTGTCAATTCTATTTCTGTGATGGCAAAGATGCATTTTCAGCAGCCATTACTCCGATTGTCAGTGTCACATGATCCTTCAGAAATCATTCTAATATGCTGATTTGGTCATTTTGATCATTTACTATTATCAATGTTGAAAACCATTGTGCTGCTTAATATTTTTGTGGAAACTGTGATTAGTGGTCGACCGATATTGGTTTTTTGACTGCCGATGCCGATATCTTGGAAAGCAGGGTGGCCGATGGCTGATATAAAGCCGATATAATTTTATTTAATATTTAAGAAATTTGAAATAATTTGAAAATAAATAAAAAAATAAATGTGTAAAATAAACATGCTTATACTTTAAATGACAAAGTATTTTTCACAAATAAACAAATATTTAATAAAAATATAATTTAAAAAGGAAGTAAACACTGTAACAGGGCACTTATTCTGTATTCTGGGAAGTTTGTGTGCATTGGGAATCACATTTTTTCAAATAAAGCCAAGGTAATACAAGATCTCACAGCTGGATTCGACTAAGTTTACAAGGCTTTTGAAATTAGATGTTCATTAGTCATTCAAAGATTTGTTTAAATGATGTAAATGCGTATTTGCTGAATGCTGACGGCAAACGATAAAGTATTATAATGTTTGCTTTTCTATTACTAACAATATAAAAGCAATCATTATAATACTTTTTTGTATACATTTTAATTCCTTTGTTTAACAGTTCTATCTGATTATTAGACAGACTTCTGTCCGTGGACAGAACTGTTAACCACGACAGCGAACAAGAGGGAGAATGTGAGCACTATTTGTTCAGGCGCTGCCGTTCTCAGCGCCGTCAAAATAAAAGTCCCGCAACGAACGCATCGGCCAAACAGAAAAACTTATCGGCCAATGCCGATATTTGAAAAATGGCAAATATCGGAACTGTTAACCACGACAGCGAACAAGAGGGAGAATGTGAGCACTATTTGTTCAGGCGCTGCCGTTCTCAGCGCCGTCAAAATAAAAGTCCCGCAACGAACGCATCGGCCAAACAGAAAAACTTATCGGCCGATGCCGATATTTGAAAAATGCCAAATATCGGCCGATATATCGGTCGACCACTAACTGTGATACACTACCATTCAAAATTTTAGGGTACGTTAGAATGTAAAAAAAAATATAAAAATAAATAAAATCTATTCAGCAATGATCCATTAAAATGATTAAAAATGACAATAAAGACATGTCTATTGTTACAGAAGATTTCTATTTTAAATAAATGGTGTTCTTTTGAACTTCCTTTTTATCAAAGAACAATATACATATATCTATAAATACAATTAGCGTTACAATTAATTGTGTGAGGATCAGACCAAAATGTGAATTGTCGTTCACTGAAAATCGTCTCCAGTTTGCTTTTAACTGCTAGGACTGGATCACTGATCAATGTGAACTGAATCAGTCTGATCTGTAAAAAAAACATCATTCAGACATGTTTTGTGAACTGGATCAGTTTCATGAAATAATCCGACTCAAAGAACAATTTGTTCATTAAACAGACATTGTTATCGCTCTCATTATTTAAATCTGTTCCAATCTTGTGGCTTGGATTGGATTAACTTTATAGTTGATGAGTCAAATTGACAACTTTTATGATTCTTTGTTTTCCTTTTTAAAGTTTGAAAGCTCCAGTACCCATTCATTTTTATTTCATGAAAAACAGCAATCAGGACATTATTTATTTTTACTTTTGTGCTCCAAGGCATGTGCATTTTTTAAACATGTGGGTGAATAAATGATGACAAAATGTAATTTTTGAATTACATTTAAATGTCTCTTTAAGTGAATTAATAATGCTCAAAATCTACTAAACAACATGCAGGTCTCACTCTCTCACTAAAACTGTACTTCTCATCAACCAGTGCTGAGGCAGGAACACTGCCTTAAAGAAACTCTTTTAAACAGCTCTTTCTCCCAGAGACTGCTCCAGTGGTCAGCTCCAGCACACGCATTCCCTCTCAGCAGACTGCTGTTGACAGTTTTGGGACATGAGCTAATTTTGCTCTATGTTAATGCTGCACAGGATGCAAAGACTACAGGGCTGTTTTTGTGCCTGCCAGTCTGAGGCAGTGTGGTTTACTTAATGACTCCAAAAATAAAGACTGGCGAGAGAAGTCATTATTTCCACACGGGATTAGAGGAGACTATAGGTGAAATCACAGCAACCGCACTTCTGGACATGCTTGTTGACAAATTCACATAATTATCGTCCTGTTATTTCACACATAAGAAGGGGCTCTGTAATCGGGCACAGTCCATTCAGTGCGTGGTTATGAGACCTCTTGGATAAGAGACGAGTGGCTCTTGTAGTGGATTAGTCAGAGATGCTTCATAAGGAGAGACATGGAGTCACTGATAGTCATGAGATGATGAACCTCTTCCTCAGTCTATTCTGAATGTCAAGCGTGACATTTGAGCAGTCTGTCCTCCTTGCTTACTTGCCATTTGAGAACAGGAAGATTAAAAAAGGAAGGGATTAGCACGTAAAGTGAAGATGACAATTCGTGCAGAGGAAAAGATAATGTCTGTTTGTATACAGTATACCAGGGGTTTTCAACCTGTGGGGCGCCAGCACCTGTCAAGGGGGGCGCGAGCATCAGTTAATTCAGAGACGTTCTCTTGAGAATTTATGAATATGAGTTAACAAATCTTTAGCCATCCACTAGGGGGCAATCTGACTCCCACTGCTAGTGGACAGTTAGAGCGGAGTTGGCTCGAGTATCAGTCACGCTCAGTGTTGCCAAGTCCGCGGTTTTCCCGCGGAATTGGGCTACTTTAACAC